TTAAAGTCTATTAAAGACATAGAAGAGGTCAGCACAACGCAGGAACTTAAAGTATTATAGGGTCCAGAACGATATCTAATTATAAGAATTTCCTAAAGTCAACAGCAAATAAAATAGCTTTAATTAAGTTTGTCTCCAATAAAATATGTGAAAAAAGTCATTTGGTTCCAGAAGGTAAAGAAATAGTAATCGCTGGAGGTTTTTAAGATGGCGGTAAATGTTTTAAAGTAAATAAATAATTAGTTCCATCTATATCGTTTTAAGTACATATAGATAGTACATAATAGAGATCTTTAAAAATATTTGTTTAATTTTTTTAAGATTTCAAACCTTGCTGTTTCGGAAGAAACACATTTTTACAGCAATCACGAAGAAGCTGATACAAGGATTATTTTCCACATGGCATCCTCCAATAAAAATGGTAGACTGGTTGTAAAGTGTGATGACACCGATATTCTAGTATTATTAATTTATTATTATGCTACTCACGAACATTTTAATACCAAAGAAATGTTCATGGAAACTGGTCACGCGAATATGACAACAAATAGAAGAAGATATATTCCTATTCACACAATTTCGAAAAATATTGGTAAATTAGCATGTGAAGGCTAACCAAGTTTCCACAGCCTTACAGGGTGTGATACGGCCAGTTCCTTGTTTAAAATAGAAAAAATGAATGCTTGGAAGGTGTACTATAAAAATTGCGATACACCTAACCTTCACAAATTTTCCGAAATGGCACCAGAATAAGGAATAAAGTTTGCTAGAAGATTTATTTGTTTTTTATAGAAAAATCAAAACTCAAAAGATTTAAACGAAATTCGGTTAAAACTTACAAATGAGAGCAGAAAACAAGCTCAGGAATTATTGCCCCCTACAGAAGATAGTTTTAAACTATATGTACTTAGGTAAATTTACAAAGCAAAAATTGTACGTATATTTTATTATTATGTGTCATTTTAGGTCATATTATCAAACATTTATATGGATAAATAGTCATATTGGTGAGGTAACCAAAAAAGATCCCTTTCGATATGGATGGATTTTAAATGAGGACAATTTTATGGTTCCAGAAATGATGCATCAAGATCTAGTTCCAGAAGATATACGACAAATTATCTCTTTATTTTGTAATGACAAGAACTGCAACACGCCAAAATGTCAGTGTAAAAAAGAGGGGGTATCTTGTAGCTCAAATTGCAAATTCACCTAGAGGAAAATACAAATGAATCTGAAGATCCTGTTGATTATACATTATTCGATAGTTTGTTTTAATTTTGTTTGTTTGTTAAAATTTGTATTTAACAATATATTTATACTACAATTATTTATTATTTTTGCAAAGTATACGAATTTTTTGGAATAAAATGAACAAATTACGATGTATCTTCACTACATATACTGCAAATAACTAATGAAAAATTGTATTTAAATTACTGTGAGAGTTGTGACCTCCCACCCTCCGGTCTTGTAGCTAATTATTAAAAGCCCGTATTTTAATTTAACTACCTCCCTCCCCTTGTGAAATTCAAAGAAATTCATACTTACTGTATATGGCCTTTTCCTCTAGTAGTGTAGTGATCGTCTAGTTAATTAATTGAAAATTTATATACCCACGTTGTGATAATGTTAATTAAAATAAAGCAGGATTCGATGCAAAGTTTGGTACAAATTTGTGAATGAAATAATGCTCAAAATATATTTAACTTAATTTATTTTTTTGATCTCCAATAAAATTAGTATGTACAGATTACTTTTAATATAAGGTAGACCTCACATGTGTCTCGCCCAAACAACAGGCCACAGGCCACTTGCCATCAAATATTTGTAATAAAACAATTCTTGAGAATAGACAGCAGACGTCCTCAGAATTGCACTATCTTTAATAATTCTTTGTTTCGTTGTTTTCTTTTCTTATATAGGTGCGCTTACTGAGATACCGTCGTTGCAATAACAGGCGGATATCCCTTATGTTTCAGCCTCACCCAGAGGGGGTTTTATGTAGATGTAGTCTTACTAGAATAGAGCCAGATCAATACTAGCGAACTACCCCTTATGTTCAGATCTACCTACGGTGCGAAGATTGAGAGATAATTATCTAAGATAGTCCAACCCTGTAGTAACATCAAGCATATTCGGATAAATGTGAGTCTAGTCGTCCGATGTGTCATTTACCCCAATCAGCTGAGCTGTTATTTGCGAGGGTTCATTGACAGTTCGGTAACCAGACTCTTATTATCTTTTACGGTGATATATTAATTTGAAGGCAATATGGCCCATAGCATACACATCTGGACGAGCTAAATGCGATGTCGGCGAGCAACAAATTCCTCAAATGTAAAGATTTAGCATTATTGAATAATAATGAGTTACACAATAATACTCATTATTATTCAACAATAAATTCCCATTTTTACAAATTTAATTTGGTTATTAACTCACCATCGGATAAGCAGACCGTTGGGTTTATATTATCGTCCGTTTCTATTTCAGACATTTTATATTTTTGTATTCGGGATAATTTGCAGGGAAGTTGAGATGTTGGCGTCGAAATTTAGAACGTCGTGGCGAAGAGGAAGCGTTGTGACGCAGAACGCCAAGCGCAGGAAGGTAGATAAGTAAGGTTGAGATATTGGGCGTCGAATGGGGACGTCGGATAAAAGAGATGACGTAGTGACGTCGAGCGTCGAGACGTGGGAACGTTTTGGAAGGTAGTTGGTCGGGATAAAGAGCGTCGGATAAAGGTAGTATATGAACTGCGTGGGTTTAGGAAAGGTACTAAACTTGAATTATATTAGATTAGAAGAATATACGATTGGAGCTCGAAATCAACTGAACTGAGTCTGATTTCTTACTGCCTTTCGAGTCCCTTTTAATCGGATCTTTATAATCGATTTAATTAGTTTTTTTGGTGATGTCAGTGAACGAATTTAGGTGGATAGGGGTGGCTGATTTATTACATGCCTTGAAAAGTTTGTGTATCGAAAACAACGTTCCTTTCAAAACTGACGATAAGTGTGTTAAGAGTTTTAATGATTATTACTTCGTGGCAACTTATGTTGTATGATGGTTTTAGATTGCATTCTTAGACATTTGTAAGAAATTGGATCTCTTACGGGCTGGGCTGGGTTATAGATATTATTTATTAGGTGTCGTAAATAAGATTTAATTATCTGGATACCTATTCTCTAACTCATGGGAGCACTCCCACACTCCCATGCTCCCATACTCCCATGCCAACGTTGCCAAGTCGACAGAATAACTTTGATCTACTATTTAAGGACCGATCCACCGTTGTGTTAAACGAAGTTGAAAATGACATTTTTACATTAACAATGTGATTTTAATCTCCGTTTAATTCAACGGCGGAATCGGCCCTTAGTAGTTCAAATTTGCTTTGTGATAAATACGGACCTAATCTGGCAAGCCCGCAATTCTCCCTCCCATAGTATAAAATCTGACCTTACTACGCATGTACCTGGGCTAAAAATGAGTAAGCACGATATACCCACCTAAGAGTAAGAGAGCAAAATATATGGGAGCACTCCCATGGGAGCGCTCCCATGACTTAGTGAATAGCTATCCTGGGAGATTTTTGTTAAATGAAGGATTTAGAATTTAATAAGAATGCAACTCTTTTTTAATAAAATGGAATTAATAAATGATTATGGTACCTGGGTGCGGTAGGTTACAGAGTGTGTGTGTAACAAGAGGTATGTCGATCGCAATGGAAAAACCCGCAATCAATCCGGCCGCCGAGCCAGGCGCCCCCACGTTAAAAAGCCCTAGCGCTTTTATTATTAACAATAGACCACGTATTAATCGAGACAAAATGCAGCTCATTAAATTGCGCAGTTTTAAAAAAAAAATGTTAAATAGCTCTTTGCATAAGAAAGTTATGACAAGGTAGATTAAAAAAATATTGTCAATTTGTTGGTTTTTTTTTAAATATTACTATTTTTTAATATAGTTTACAACATTTTTATAAAAACAAATACATTACAAGAAAGGAAATTAACTAAGGAATAAAACAAAAAAAATGTTTTAACTTCTTTAATAAAACAGTTACGAGTGTTCAAAGTTAACAAAAAAAAAAAACCTGTTTTTTTTTTCTATATATTTAGTCTCGACCAATGGAGAGAGTCGTCAATTCCTATTTTAAATGTAAAAAGCATGCTTTTTCAAATGATGAAGGTCCCATTTGGTTATACCTCGGTTTTTTTTTCTGCGCCCTAGACCGGACTTCCCGACGGACTATTTTTTACGGATTTTTACATTTTGGGGTCCCCTGATTCTGTTTTGACTATTTTCGCGATGATGTCTGTGTGTGTGAAATGATTAAATTTTGGGCATAGTCGGAACATCTGGGTTGCTACTTTGTAGTGTGTGTTTTTCTACTTTATGAATTAACTGTTATTAACGGTTGGAGAAGAAATTTTTTCGAATAAAAGTTGCTTGTAATGTGTTTCTCTATAATTTTTATCATATACATAATTTTCTCAAACTGATCCGTATTCGAGAAATTTGACAAAATGTGAAAAATTCGAATTTTTAAGAAAATTGTTCAAGTAAAAGTTGTTAGCGATATCAATCTCTATTATTTTTTTCCATACACGATTTCTCTAAAATGGTCCGTAATGGAAAAATTTGAGAAAAATTTAAATATTTCTGTATTTTCGTTAGCAAAGAATATATATAAAAAATGAAACTTGAGCCAGACCGCATAAACTGGCATTGCTGATATTATTCGTTTCCTGCACGCTCTAATGGTAACTCTCTGTAATTTTCATTCACCGCGAATCGTATTGGATAGCATTCGATAGCCGATACTGTATAATATGTTTAATTCTTCACTCAGCGGAGTTAAATCAGCACAGCGAAGTTCACAGTTTGACCGTAGACTTAAGATGGGATTTTAGTAAAAATTAAAACATTTTTTCTGTAAGATTTAATAATAAAATTAAAAATAAAAGGTTAAAATGTATAATTGGTATAACGTTCTAAATAAAAAATGCGCGCCTTAAAATGTATTACATATTTATAAATTAATTACCTATTTTAAAAAAAAATCTACCACTTAAACACTATTTAAAAGCAAAAATAACATCACTATACATCTCAAATCCAAAATTAAGTGATACAATTTATAATAATATTGTATAATATATTACAAATCTTCATCTTCAAAACCAATAGAATTTACAATAATATTTATTGCATACTAAATGTCTTCATCATGTGGTGTTGATTTATAGAACCTTCTAGAATAAGAAGCTGGAGAATTGTCAAAATATCCGGCTAAACTGAACCAACGTTGTTTGTAAGCGTACAAAATAAACAAAATTAATGGAATGGCCAATAAAACACCTACAACAAAAATTTTAAAATAAATTTTAAGGAAAAATAAATATTTTTTATTAGATACCTAAGTTACGTTTGCCTATTGGTCGAGATTTGAGCAGTGCATAGGAGCAAATCGAACACTTTAAACATTTATAATTTCTTCGGAGTCTTTATTTTTAGTTCGATTTCTGTGAAATGTTCAGGAAATACCAATAATAACAAAACTTAGGGCCTAAGAATAGAAAACTAATTGACAAAGGCAAATTAAAAAGAGTGGTTTTATACAGCTTGTCTGTACTGGGTGGCGAATCTATAAGAGGTACACCTAGAAAATTTGATGTACCTATAATGACCTCAAATATCGCCCAGTAGAGGTCAGATGGTACAATCTCAATAGATAATAAACGAAGAAGTTATTAATAAATCGTTTTCTGACGTACATTTATTGACAACTGATATCATTAGGGTCACAGAAAAAATTTAAATAAGAAAAATATGATTTGAACATCAAAGGGTAATCAAGTGTCCCCAGTTTCCTAACAATAAAAATAAAGTGAATGTGTATTGACGAGGACTGTTCAAAAAGTCCGTGTAAAATTATAGAGATTACGCACTATAATAAAATGGACTGTGACCACTGGTCGGATCCGATTACAATAAGAAGAACACCGCTACGTCATAACCATTACTGCGATTTTCAAAAAATATCTATAACTACCAATTAATACAAAAAAAGTAAGTTGTTAGGTATAAAAAAATATTTGCTACATTTCTATAATATTAACACGCCACTAAACCCCCAGTAAATTACTTCGTCAAGCGATGACGCAGCTGAGTTCTTTTAATTGGATCCAATGAAATTCTTATCTTCTCTTCACGTCTTAGATCTTGTAAAAGGGGAAATTTTCCGTAACATGATGTATAAGTAGCCGACCAGCTTTATTAGATCATGCCACATGACATCGAGCTAGGTAGAGTACGTGAATTGCTCACATTGGTTTTTCAAAATATTAAAAAAAAAGTGTTATTATCAAAATTGTACTAGTTACTTTGTTTCCAAAAATGGTTAGAGAAAATGGTTGAAAAAAATGTATTAAATTCAGAGGTAATCCAGGAAACAAACAACTAAACGGTAACTTGTACTATTTATTTTTTGTTTTCTCTATTTTTGCTCGGACTTATCAAACATCCTTCGCACTACCAACGTTCTTACCTCCAACTTGGCATATTTGCAATATACCTCCATTCTCTCTAGTGGAATCATTCTCATTTTCATAATTGCTATATTCACGTTCATCGTAGACTTGCTTACCTGCTAATATTCCTACCAGCAAAGTACCATCCTTCTCAGGTCTGTTTCCGTATGTATCCAAACACCTCATATGGCTCTTTTTCATTAGTATATCATAGAAACTGAAATATCTCATTTCGACTGGAGCAGCACACCTAAAACATTACTGATTACAGTATGTTGCAGTTTTGTGGACAGTATGGTTCAGTCTTGTGGACAACACTATTACGATATATTTGGTATAAATTAGTATTTTGTGATCCTCTGCATATCGAACAAAGTTCCCCTTGGAATGTGAAACCTGAAAATCTTGCACCAACCCTATGACCATGATTTAAAAGACAAACTTTAAAAACTGCAATCATTTTAATAAACACAACCTTATTAATGAAAAATGAGTTTTGTAACATTTTTCCCTAAAATATTTGAGTTCAAAAGGTTCAAAGTAAGGAGTGATCCACAAAAAAGTTTCTAAAGTAGGCCTTGAAAAAATTCTCGTGCATCGAACTAACAATAACAATTTTTTTTTCTATTATTGTCAATTTGGATTTAATTCCGAGCCAATCGTTATCACGAACATGACTCGCATATATGTCTTTGTCGGTCATGGTCTTCTTTAGAAACATTTGTGTTGATCATTCTTTATTTAAAACTGTGAAATTTTGTAGTTATTATTTAATAAAAAAAAAAGTGAAAAAAATTTGATTGAACCGTAATCATTTTCAATTTAGGCATAACTAATTACAGGTAAGTAGGTACATTTTTGAATAAATTTGGTAATAATAATTGTTAATAATTGTTAATAATTGTTAATAATTGTTAATAATTGTTAATAATTGTTAATAATTGTTAATAATTGTTAATAATTGTTAATAATTGTTAATAATTGTTAATAATTGTTAATAATTGTTAATAATTGTTAATAATTGTTAATAATTGTTAATAATTGTTAATAATTGTTAATAATTGTTAATAATTGTTAATAATTGTTAATAATTGTTAATAATTGTTAATAATTGTTAATAATTGTTAATAATTGTTAATAATTGTTAATAATTGTTAATAATTGTTAATAATTGTTAATAATTGTTAATAATTGTTAATAATTGTTAATAATTGTTAATAATTGTTAATAATTGTTAATAATTGTTAATAATTGTTAATAATTGTTAATAATTGTTAATAATTGTTAATAATTGTTAATAATTGTTAATAATTGTTAATAATTGTTAATAATTGTTAATAATTGTTAATAATTGTTAATAATTGTTAATAATTGTTAATAATTGTTAATAATTGTTAATAATTGTTAATAATTGTTAATAATTGTTAATAATTGTTAATAATTGTTAATAATTGTTAATAATTGTTAATAATTGTTAATAATTGTTAATAATCGTTAATAATCGTTAATAATCGTTAATAATCGTTAATAATCGTTAATAATCGTTAATAATCGTTAATAATCGTTAATAATTGTTAATAATCGTTAATAATCGTTAATAATCGTTAATAATCGTTAATAATCGTTAATAATCGTTAATAATCGTTAATAATCGTTAATAATTGTTAATAATCGTTAATAATCGTTAATAATCGTTGATAATCGTTAATAATCGTTGATAATCGTTAATAATCGTTGATAATCGTTAATAATCGTTAATAATCGTTAATAATCGTTAATAATCGTTAATAATCGTTAATAATCGTTAATAATCGTTAATAATCGTTAATAATCGTTAATAATCGTTAATAATCGTTAATAATCGTTAATAATCGTTAATAATCGTTAATAATCGTTATTAATCGTTAATAATCGTTAATGATCGTTAATGATCGTTAATAATCGTTAATAATCGTTAATAAGCGTTAATTATCGTTAATAATCGTTATTAATCGTTAATAATCGTTAATAATCGTTAATAATCGTTAATAATCGTTAATAATCGTTAATAATCGTTAATAATCGTTAATAATCGTTAATAATAGTTAATAATCGTTAATAATCGTTAATAATCGTTAATAATCGTTAATAATCGTTAATAATCGTTAATAATCTTTAATAATCGTTAATAATCGTTAATAATCGTTAATAATCGTTAATAATCGTTAATAATCGTTAATAATCGTTATTAATCGTTAATAATCGTTAATAATCGTTAATAATCGTTAATAATCGTTAATAATCGTTAATAATCGTTAATAATCGTTAATAATCGTTAATAATCGTTAATAATCGTAAATAATCGTTAATAATCGTTAATAATCGTTAATAATCGTTAATAATCGTTAATAATCGCTAATAATCGTTAATAATCGTTAATAATCGTTAATAATCGTTAATAATCGTTAATAATCGTTAATAATCGTTAATAATCGTTAATAATCGTTAATAATCGTTAATAATCGTTAATAATCGTTAATAATCGTTAATGATCGTTAATACTCGTTAATGATCGTTAATGATCGTTAATGATCGTTAATAATCGTTAATAATCGTTAATGATCGTTAATGATCGTTAATGATCGTTAATAATCGTTAATAATCGTTAATAATCGTTAATAATCGTTAATAATCGTTAATGATCGTTAATGATCGTTAATGATCGTTAATGATCGTTAATAATCGTTAATAATCGTTAATAATCGTTAATAATCGTTAATAATCGTTAATAATCGTTAATAATCGTTAATGCTCGTTAATAATCGTTAATAATCGTTAATAATCGTTAATAATCGTTAATAATCGTTAATAATCGTTAATAATCGTTAATAATCGTTAATAATCGTTAATAATCGTTAATATTCTCTAATAATCGTTAATAATCTCTAATAATCGTTAATAATCGTTAATAATCTCTAATAATCGTTAATAATCGTTAATAATCGTTAATAATCATTAATAATCGTTAATAATCGTTAATAATCGTTAATAATCGTTAATAATCGTTAATAATCGTTAATAATCGTTAATAATCGTTAATAATCGTTAATAATCGTTAATAATCGTTAATAATCGTTAATAATCGTTAATAATCGTTAATAATCGTTAATAATCGTTAATAATCGTTGATAATCGTTAATAATCGTTGATAATCGTTAATAATCGTTGATAATCGTTAATAATCGTTAATAATCGTTAATAATCGTTAATAATCGTTAATAATCGTTGATAATCGTTAATAATCGTTAATAATCGTTAATAATCGTTAATAATCGTTAATAATCGTTAATAATCGTTAATAATCGTTAATAATCGTTAATAATCGTTAATAATCGTTAATAATCGTTAATAATCGTTAATGATCGTTAATGATCGTTAATGATCGTTAATGATCGTTAATAATCGTTAATAATCGTTAATAATCGTTAATAATCGTTAATGATCATTAATGATCGTTAATGATCGTTAATGATCGTTAATGATCGTTAATAATCGTTAATAATCGTTAATAATCGTTAATAATCGTTAATAATCGTTAATGCTCGTTAATAATCGTTAATAATCGTTAATAATCGTTAATAATCGTTAATAATCGTTAATAATCGTTAATAATCGTTAATAATCGTTAATAATCGTTAATAATCGTTAATAATCGTTAATAATCGTTAATAATCGTTAATAATCGTTAATAATCGTTAATAATCGTTAATAATCGTTAATAATCGTTAATAATCGTTAATAATCGTTAATAATCGTTAATAATCGTTAATAATCGTTAATAATCTCTAATAATCGTTAATAATCGTTAATAATCGTTAATAATCGTTAATAATCGTTAATAATCGTTAATAATCGTTAATAATCGTTAATAATCGTTAATAATCGTTAATAATCGTTAATAATCGTTAATAATCGTTAATATTCGTTAATAATCGTTAATAATCGTTAATAATCGTTAATAATCGTTAATAATCGTTAATAATCGTTAATAATCGTTAATAATCGTTAATAATAGTTAATAATCGTTAATAATCGTTAATAATCGTTAATAATCGTTAATAATCGTTAATAATCGTTAATAATCGTTAATAATAGTTAATAATCGTTAATAATCGTTGATAATCGTTAATAATCGTTGATAATCGTTAATAATCGTTAATAATCGTTAATAATCGTTGATAATCGTTAATAATCGTTGATAATCGTTAATAATCGTTAATAACCGTTAATAATCGTTAATAATCGTTAATAATCGTTAATAATCGTTAATAATCGTTAATAATCGTTAATAATCGTTAATAATCGTTAATAATCGTTAATAATCGTTAATAATCGTTAATAATCGTTAATAATCGTTAATAATCGTTAATAATCGTTAATAATCGTTAATAATCGTTAATAATCGTTAATAATCGTTAATAATCGTTAATAATCGTTAATAATCGTTAATAATCGTTAATAATCGTTAATAATCGTTAATAATCGTTAATAATCGTTAATAATCGTTAATAATCGTTAATAATCGTTAATAATCGTTAATAATCGTTAATAATCGTTAATAATCGTTAATAATTGTTAATAATTGTTAATAATCGTTAATAATCGTTAATAATCGTTAATAATCGTTAATAATCATTAATAATTGTTAATAATCGTTAATAATCGTTAATAATCGTTAATAATCGTTAATAATCGTTAATAATCGTTAATAATCGTTAATAATCGTTAATAATCGTTAATAATCGTTAATAATCGTTATTAATCGTTAATAATCGTTAATAATCGTTAATAATCGTTAATAATTGTTAAATTTCGTTAATATTCGTTAATATTCGTTTATAATCGTTAATAATTGCTAATAATTTTTAATAATTGGTAATAAATTATTAAATTAAATGGTAAAAATCTGTGATAAAAAATATGTTAATACTGAATGAATGTTATTTTTGGATGACTTACATAACTTCTTTGGCCATATCTTCATTAATTTTTAAATAAATTGGCATCAAGTCATCAATCAACCATTGATTCTCACACTCGCATGTCCAGGGGTTTTCTCTTATATCTAATTCCGATAAACTGTCCCATCTCGCTATGATTTCACTTTCTAGGTATGATATTTTGTTGTTGCCTATATAAAGCTAAATAACAAATAACATTTTTATAATTTTCGGCATAAAATAATGTAAAATTATACATTTCAGTCTGTTTTAAGAAGAGATGGACTTACTTTTTTAATTGGTGGCCAAATCGCCCCGCCTGTAAGTTTAGATGGCTTAGCTAAAGCCAAGTCGTCAATTGTAACCAAATCTATGTTGTCGCTCATGCGAAGATCCGTCAAATTTGTCAGGCCGCTAAGAGAGTGTCTGCCAACGTGATGTAAAAGCTCATTTCTGCATAAATGGAGGACCCTTACAGATGGCATATTGGGAAAGCCGCTGAAAAATAATTTATTTAATTATTTTTAGCATTTTATACGTATTTTGTAATAAATATTTTAACTTTTTATTTGAAAATTTTACAAATTTTGCTAACTTAATTTTTTCATATTTATTGCTCAATAATCTTGTTCTTGTCAATATGTAAAAAATGGATTGCCATAAGTTAATCCAACTTTTAACTATTGATATTGTTGGTGGGCAAAAGAAAATGTTAACAAGTTTTCTTTAAGAACAGACAATTTTGAAATAAATAAAATATTTCTTAACTAATTTTAATAGATTTCTTACTTATCTTGTGTCAAATTAACAAAACCAGTGTTATTCAAATACAATTCTTGCAAGTTTATAGCTTGTCGCAATGTTCTTGGAATCTTCTCAATCCCTATATTTCCTGACAAATCTAAAATTTGCAATCTTCTAGGTGTATGCAGCATGTCGTCTGGCAAAGTTTTTATTCCTGTATATTGCAAATACAATTTCTAAAAAAAATTATTTCAAATTATATATACTCGTATTTAGTTTTGAATAAAGCGTAATTATTTTACCTTCAGATATGGTAATCCGCTAATTGCCAGAAGAGTATGTCTATCGATGGTTTGAAAATCATTATGGCTCAAGTCTAAAATTTCTATATCTGTAGTATGTTCAAAAGTATCCTTGTTAAGAGTGTGAAGTTGATTGTGATCTAATCTCAATTCTTTGAGACTTCTCAGAGGCAACAGCCTTGCTTCCAAATAGAGACCCTAAAAGTGAATAAAATATACTCCAATGCGTCCCGCTTTATCATTTTTACTTTCCTATCTGTATACACATATTTAAAGTATAGGAATCATGATTTTTTCGACCTCGAGTTTTCGACGGAGTTTTCTTGCATAACAATAAGTGGACGTAGATATTTCCATAATTATTGTAAAATTGTAAAGCAAAATAAAATTTAACAAGCGCATTTCACATCATGGAGGATAAAAAATAATAATATCTACAAATCGCAAAACAATGAACGGGTATTGATTACTGCGCAAGCTTGCTCCTGAGTCACGTCTCACCTAGGTGGTGCAGGATAATTTACTCGATATTATAAAATAGTCAGGTCTTTAATGATTTTAGAAAAAATACTAAACTGATTTACTTACTTTGAACGTGTCTGGGTGGATTAGATCCAAATCATTATAACTCAAAATAAGCACCTTCATATTCTGCAAATTTTTGAAAATGCTGTCCTTAATACTCATTATATTATTATTAGCCAAATCTAATACGGTCAAGTTAGATGGGGGGAAAACATTTGTCATATTCGTCAGCTTCTCATAATGAATAGCCAAAGAATTGTAGGCTACACTTTCGTTAGTGGCATTTAGTTTCCAGAAGTAATCTTGATAAATACTCTGGTAATTCCCATGTGCAGCACACAATACATCTGCTGTAGTTTCATTGACGTCGAATTTACAAGTGCAAATTTTGCAAAGAGGAAATTTATTTTGATCGGGCTCTGCGGCACAAAGCATAACCGATGCCAATATGAAAAGTATCCTGTACATATTCTTCATTCTATAAAAAAATATAAATAAGTATATTCAACTGTTCTAAAATGGTGACCATCGACAATCATACTCAAAATCAGACCTAGATTAAATAGATTAAGTAATTGAATACTATTCTCTTACTATAAATATAGGGTGGGCCACCAGTAATGCCTCGGTCTGTTGAACCAAAACTAATTCTTTCACAACTATACCAGAAAAGGCCACAATTTAAAAATAATATCAATTGTACTGGGTTTGCCGGAAAAATGATACATAACAAAATTTAAGCTTTAGCTTTAGTTGTTCTAGTAGTATAGATAGGCAAATGCCTGTCAAAAAGATTAATCAACAAGTTTACGAACAGCGAAACTTATTCGTCAACAGTATACATGTATAACATTGGTTATAGCGTGTGCAATATCCTGTGTTATACTTTTTAATATTTCGTATTGTTATAATATAATGGGGAAAAAGACCTAACTTTGATATGTATCACTTTCCTAGAGAATCCTTAATAATATTTTTAAATTGATATATATCATATATCACGCTATGAGAGATAAAAAACATCAAATTGTTTTGACTCTACAGATCTTCTTATATTTGTATAAGAACATTTTTTCATTATTTGATGATGAACGATATAAGTACAAACGATCTCTATAGATGTCTGTAAGTTACAGATCTGTACACTATAATGAATCTAATAGAGTTGGGCGATATTTCAAGAACTATTATTATATAATTACTGATATTATAATAAAGTTACTTCTATTTATTCTGAATTCAGCCTTTTCTATTTTTTATCAATTACCGTTCAGCTTTAATTTCAAAAATTCAAATTTTCACTCATTTTCTTTATATAAATCCATCAGTATTGTTTATCTGCAAAGGTCCGCGATGAGACCAAAGTTTGCGCTGAAACGCTTTAGAAACGTTTAAACAGTCGCGAATGGACTGAGAAGGTGTAACGACGTTATTCTGAGATCAAAAAATGTCGTTAATTATTTGCTCCAAAGTCATCGTGAAGTACCTGCTAAGCCTTGATTTATTCCGAAATAATAATTTTAAGATCCCCAGTTATTCCCAAATAAAGTTCTCTGTTTGAAGTTCTACAGTTGCGTTCTACGCTTCAGTCTAGACTAGACTCTAGATCAGCCATACTCAACCTGCGGCCCTCCAAGCTTTTTTTTGCGGCCCGAAACACTATTAGTAAAAATGTGCTTTTTAAAACACTAGGTTTCTGTTTTTAAAATCTTGAGCGAAATGCTCGAAAACATTCATCGGACGCTGCGCTAAATATGACGCTAATTTTTAAATAAACGTTTAGATCATAGGGTTACTGCCAAAAAAGATAGCTCCACTTTCGGCATTATCGAGTTAAGTACACTTTCGTCTCCAAAATAGTTAAAATAATATCCGGCATAAAGACAAGTGTGATAAACGGATGGTCAATAAAAACTAAATTCATATTAATACATTCACAATATGCACACACACGATGAGTGGCACTTATACCGAAATATAATAATAAAATTGTGTTCAGTTGCTAATAGTGCTTCTGCCAAAATAAGATAAAGGCCAGAACACTTATTGTTGTTGAATGTATTTGTTGAAATACTTCAACATTTTTCCCAAGCCATTTGTTTTATTTTGCCTACCTTCTCGATTGGTCCGAAATCGACAAGGTGATTACGTCACCCTTTTTCCACGCTACAGCTTTTCGCATTGCTTGAAAAACTCAAGCCGTGACGGCAGAGGGATGCCTGAAAGGATGAAAAACTCTGAAAATACTACTTACAAAAAATTGCAAGGTTTTAGTAACACTGAGAAGAAAGATTTCCTAAAACTTTGCAAACCAGGTGCTACACCTGATGAATTTCATCATTATTATCACAATCTACCTGTATCCAATAATGTTAAAGACACGGTACCTGAACCTTCTATTGAAGATAGTGACACAGACGTTGAATATTATACCTTGTATGTAGACAGCTAAAATAAGCTAAGTGACGTTGTTCTTTTTTTTGTTACCACCCAGACAGCACACCAAATCCTTTGGATATCTACTTGACATCCCAATATCCACTGAATGTCCAGTCCATGGTGGATATCTATTTTATATCCATGAGATGTAATTTATAGACATGTAAATGTCCATAAATAATAGTAATTATAAAGCAAATTATTAAAAAATTACGACATTGTGTTCGCCATTGTGGCTAATAGTACCGTTCAGATATTTAAAATTAATTTTTTTAAGGTGTATTCAATATCCCATGGACATCCACTAAATATATCAAAGTCTAGGCGCGAACGCAAACCATGGTGCATATCCACTAGATGTAATTTTTGATTTTGCCAACTAAGTATAGATGACGATACCACTTTCGCTCGTGCTCATGCTCAACTCGCCGTAATTGAGTTCGATCGAAATTTTTTTCCCAATCAGACTCCATTAGAGACTGGAGTCGAGAATTTCCATTTATTGCTGAAGAGTAAAAAGTCCTAATAAGGATGACTTTCTCCTCAGTGGGCAAAATCAAAGGCAGAGTGTTGAAAATATTTTTATCTCTGCTATCTTCTTTCGACGTTATTCAATAATCATTGGTTACTTATGAACCTCTACTAAAGATACCCATAAAATATTTAGCTGAATATCCGAATATCTTCTATATCCTGGGATATAGACGGACATTTGGATATCCTGATATCCATATTAGATCCACTGGATATATTGGATATCTCTGAGATTTCTTGTATTGGCTGGAGATACCCATTAGATATTTTGCTGGATATATCCATAGGATTTCTTCTATATTCTGGATCTAGACGGACATTTGGATATCCATATTAGATCTACGGGATAATTCTGATATCCTGTGGATTTATTGGATATCCACAAAAGATATTCTGTGGTTATCTCTGGGATTTGGTGTGTTGTCTGGGCAATCGATAGATTCTTTTTTTTTACACCCTTCAGACCTCCCGTGCTACACCCTAATCAGTCTGTAGTCTGGCAGCACTGCAGCCTGCGGCTTATTGTACCACCATTTGAAGGTACTACTACTTTCCCATTCACATCCTCATTCATTCCACGTCGTCGATGGTTAAACGCTAGTCGGATGAATCCCATGGTGACACGGCCCATGGTGGAACCTCCCAGCGGTCACTCATCTACGACGTGACCGGAGACATCACTGCTTAACTGTTGCGAGTATGTGGATGTACACTAAACTCGCGGCTAGCCTCTCCGGCATCGATAGATTCTTAGTTTATACTTTATGAAGACTAATTATGTTTTAATTAATTAATTTTAAACTCTTAAAGAGAGTTTTCTTGAAATTCTAAAAATGTGAGATATCTTGTTTTTGCAGTAACCCGACATGATATATTTTCGGTTTGTGTTTTATTTATTAGAGGTTCCCACTAACTAATTTTAAATGAAAAAGAACCAAGTTTTTTAGAAGTTTGCAATGAACTTGTGCCTAAAATTGTAAACATTTGGAAAGAGGCATCAATTCCAACCGTTTCAAAAGACAGAATTGTGCAATTAATACGAAAGTATTATAAAAAACATATGAATTTAATAAGATATCCCAGAAGCAAGCGAAACAACATCTATGACGAAAAGATAAATACATGTAAAATAGAGTGTCATAAAAAAATACTTGACATAGCTGCTTGTAAAAGCAATTTTTCTGCATACATGTGTGAAAAGACCTGGAAAGTACCTACTAAGGAACAAAATTTTCTTTCTGATCAAAGATCAGTCAGAAAAATGAGCATAAAAAATGTAGATCGTGAAGAAAAAAGAAAATATTGTCGAATAAACAAAGGCAATCCAGAGAAATCGAAAGTCTAAAAAAATATGAATCAGAATCTTGCAATTTATAAAGCCTCAATTGTTCCTCTCAAACTACTACATAATCAGGGTCAAAATCTGACCTCTCAAAATATCAACCCTCTTTAAATGTCGACTTTATCAATCCAAACTTACCCTCTACCTCAAAAAACACTCATATGAGAACAAAGTTACCTACGTTAGGTCTTGTATGCGATAAATATGGTATATCTGGGGCCTATTTCATAAAACTACTTTGCAACTTTACACTTTGTAATTTGCAATTTTACAAGTACAAAATATTTGTAGATGTTTTTTAAACTTTACTTTTTAATTCATCAAATTTCTCTTTAATAAAACATAAATTTAATAAAATAAGCAAAATTCAAAGTGAAAAGTTGCTGCGATTGGTAGTGCAGTATTAGAATTACCACAGAAGTTCGGTCGAAAACAGTTGACAAAAATAAAGTGAGAAGAGAGCGAAAGAAATCTATAAATACCGCAAGGAAGGAGTTTGAAAGTGATAACAGAAGAATAAGAAGTAAGTATTTTGATGGAAGAAAGGACAAAACTTTACTACAAGAGAAGAAAAACGGTAGATTATACCAGAAAAACTGTTGTCGAAGACCACATATCTCTTATCGAGGAACCTAAATCCATTTATATTGGCCACGTAACTCCAACTACAGGGACGGCAGTGTCATTTGGTAAAGCAATATTGGATTTTTTTGTTAAAAACAATGTGGAACTAGATGATTTGGCGGCTGTGGGTTGCGACGGTACTGTTGTTAAAAATTGTGTGTTTAGGTATATTGAGACTGAATCGAAACGTCCTTTACAATGGTATATTTGCCAACTACGGCAATAAGAGATTTATTCCAACATTTAAATGGCAGCACAGTGGAACCTCGTCAATATTCTGGTGAAATCGGGAAGTCTTTGGAAAAATGTCAAATCGTAAATTTTACCCCAATAAAATGTGAGTTGCCAAATATAATTGTAATGTCTAGTGATTTAAGTTCTGATCAATCATATTTATATGACATTTGCAATACAATATCAAGCGGCAATTTCCCATCAAATTTAGCACACCGTTATCCTGGGAAATTAGCGCACTCTAGATGGCTCGCAATGGAAAATCGTCTTTTTCAGGTATATGCTGGAACGGAAAACCAACATCA